TGCTGATAATATGCATGGAAGGGACTTGAGGAAATCAAAAAGTTGAACTTTGCATTTCCAGTATTCTTAGCTAAGACCCTTTGCTCAAATTCGGGTCCATTTTTTGCCACGAATTCAGCAGTTTTGTCAACAATGTTTCTGATATCTAGGGGAGGATATATGATCCCAATAGCCCTAGTATGCGTCGTAACTGAAGTACAAGGCAAGTTGGTTTTGCTCACCTCCTCCTCCTTATTCATGAATTTCTTCTCATCCTTACTAACTTCAGTCCCTTGGGATGCTGAGATAGGTAAAATGCTGCTTCCATCGTCATCAGGAGGAGCCTGTAAGGGCAAAAAGAATCCTATTGGTCGTCGATTACCCATGAGCTTCCACAAAAACACAACACTAACGCTTTAACTGGCAGATAATCTAGCTAGTACCAGTTGAAAGAGAGAATTTAAACACCAGATATTAAAGTTTTATTACGCAGAGAGAAGAGTACCTTAGGGCTAGTTCTTTGAGGGATTGTGTGAAATAAGTATCACCTATTACATCCACTTTATATAGAGATTTTTAACCTAATTTGAGCAGGAATCCGTCTCCTAGGTGCCTTTGGATTGCTAAACCGCCATGACGTGGCGTTAATTTCGTACAAAGAGTTGAGAATATAATTTCCAATTTTATCATTCCTTAATGGACTAGGAAACCACTTTCTGTATTCATTGGCCCAACTCAACAAAAAGTTTTTATTTGGTTGTTTTAGTTTGAAGGGTAAAGTTGGAAATTCGAGGAAGATTAAGCAGGCAAAAAAAAAAAAAAAAGTAAAATTACCCCAATACGCTTTTCAATTTGGATGAACCTTGAAGATAAATAGTCAAAACCTATGTTGCATTGCACCGATATTGTTTGTTTGGTATGTGATTTCCGCTGCAATCTACAAGAACCTGGACATGAATCATGACAATTTAAATCCATAATGTTGGAATAATTAAAACTCTTCAATTCTAATCAAAAGGATTTGAAGGGGAATTTTTTTGGGTTGCAGAGGAGATGATGTCTTGAAGAAGATGATGTTGCCCTAGCTAATGCCTCAGTTTATAACCTATTTGTTTCGCAAATTGAGGGCATGTTTACGTATCAGTAATGGGTATGGGAGGAAAGGGAATGATTTCCATTCCTGACTTCCCTTGTGTTTACTTGCAATCAGGAATGAAAAAATAAGTGGGCCCCACCTCAAAATCCGTAATCACATCCCCTCAAAACTGGGTATCAGATCACCTAGGGGGGAGTAGTCGATACGATTCCCATTCCTATTTTATCTTAATAACTTCCAAAAATACCTTGACTACTTTACCATAATTCCAAAAAACCCCAAACCCTAAATTAAAAAAAAAAACTCACGCCAAGAAGTTCCAAGACGCTCCAACTTCTTTTTCACATTATCGTTGCAGACACAACCTCCCATAAGCAGCAGCAACGCCTTGTGCTATGTAAATCATTCTATCTATCTATCTTCTTCTTCTATCTTCTGTCTTCACATTCATCACAAAACATAGTACGGTCATAGATAAATACTTTTGTGGAGATTATATATCTCTTTTTTTGGTAGTATGAAGATTAT